GTTCAAAGTTGCAAGTACTTTTCAAGAAAACGTCGAAAGTTATGGCCGATTTTTCCAAAAATCCAAGTACTTGAGCCAAGAACGTCAACTAGGCTATTTATCAAAAAACTATGATCTGTCTATGGTGCTACAATGAAAACGAGGGTGAAATGTGTGGGTGTGGATCCGAAGAAAGAAGAACACTTATCCACACCCACACCGTCAAGATATCAATCTAAGATAATCTTATTTAATGTTCGACAAAATAAGAGTAATCTAAGTCACATTTCTATTTATTTTCAAAAGCAAAAAAGCGTTCATTCTATCAGCAATTCTCGTAAGGATTTGAAGCAAATGATCAAACTAAGCAAGAGCAACTACAATTGTTCTACTTGTCTCAGATTCGACAGCACAGATATTATCCCATTCAACGTCGATATTTTTTGATTGTGCTGGACAATTCTTTCTTGTACAATTGTGAAGGCAGGACAAAAATGACGAATGTAAGCATCGATGGAACGAAAGAAATGAAATAACCCATCAGAAATAGCCATGGATCACGAATTGATTTCATACAACCAGATATCAATGAAATAATGAGACGAGGACTCGCTAACACGATTAGCACACAAGGAGAAATCAGAAGTTGTTTGTGTTCTTGAAAGGTTTTCCACAAGATCTCTTTATAAGTTTGTTCAGGATGAGCCTTGGCTCGTTTTCGAGCAGCTACTAAAATGATAACCAAAGCCGAAATGAGATTAGCCGAAAATGGAGCAATCAAATGAAAAATATTGATAAAAGAATTGAACACTTCAACATTATGTGAATATTTGATAATACACCAAGTGCGTGGCTCTTCTATATCTTCATCATCAATTAATTGACGATGAATCGGATCGTGGATCGCAGTTAAAGTCGTCAGAAGAATAACACTGATAAGAATCCATTTAGCCATTTGTTTGCTCGTCTTTTTATCAAACTTAGTGCCTTTGATAACAATCATTGCTCGTTCAATAGCGATGCAAGCGTTGAACCATTGATCCATACTGAGAAAAACTCGAAGAAAATAATCGAGTAAAATACATTGACATTTCAATAATGTTCGATTGGTAATTGATGTTGTTTGTGCAAGAACCAAAAATAAAAGTTTCAGAACAAATGTAATCATTGTCATTAAAGAAGTTATTGATGAACTGAGAAGATATTGTCCACAACCTACTTCAAGCAATTTTTTTCTCGTGAATACGATCATTGACAAAATGCTATTGATGAGTCCAAATGTGAACATTATTGTTGTAAGTACGATGCTGAGTTTGACAACGATCGGTTGATGTACAAGGTTAATGAAAGGTCGAATATGGTAGCCTAAAATGGCATCAAGTGAAAGACCAAAACCACTTGTGCTGAGATGGCATCGTATGCCATGGAAACATTCAGGACATTGACACATGAATGATTGAGGACAATTTGGGTTATCAATAAAGCATTCAGCTCCATTTTTACAAATATCTTGACCAAGACAATTGTATTTCATTCGATGATCGAATTCAAAACAGTTTGCAACCCGTTGTCGACCATCATTAGTGCACAAACAGAGGTGAATATCATCGTAGAAACACAATAATGAACTATTTTGACAGGGCACATGATAATATTTGATACGTTTAAGCAAATGTGATTGTGCAACTGTAGCATTGAATAGCTCACTGATATGTGGACAACGATGCGATGGATCCACTATCTTAATAATTGTTTCCGACTCGACGTATCTCGTTTGAATAACAAACAAGTAATAAGTCTTGTTTGAAAATTCAAGAAATACAAGATGAAATGGTTCGATCGAGTAGATGGTAACAGATGTTTGATAGATAGGGATCTTCTTGAAGGTAGTTCTACGTTCCGGTGGTGCATAACCCAATGCATAAATAAAATGAACGAACATCACTTGTGGTATGACAATTTTGTTGTGAAAGGAAATTTGAATTTTAGTTGCCTTTTTCTCACATCGATCTCCACTGGAACCTTCGGGACAGGAGCAGGTCACTGGATTGTCAAATGACACACGTTCATCGTTTGGTATGCATTGACCACCATTTTCACAAGTAGCATTTGGACCAGATCGACATGTTTGATTTTCGATTAAACATCGCGATCCAAATTTCCCAAGAGGACAAACACATACAGATCGATTGTTGGCTGAAATACCAACACAAAGTGAATCCGACGAACAAGTGCACACTTGTGGAATCGTACAATTTCGTCCTGACCAACCTTGATTACATCGACAAAAGGTTCTTTTTTGTGCATCATCGACATATTTGATACATTGGCCATGAATACAGAAAGGATCGACACAATTTTCGTCATCTATACGAAGCTGTGGAATAGTTATTCGAACGGCAGTACGCTGTACAGGCATGAAATTGAAATTGAGTGATATCAGCCAACTTGCATGGTAACGAAGTATCGATCGTTTCTCATAAATATCGATGTGTATTGAATAATTTTTTGCTGAATTTTTCGGTTTAGTCGAATAGAGAAAATACACATTAAACTTCGTGTTGCAATCTCGTTTAGGGATATATGTGAATTGTTCATAGGAATTGATCAACTTTTCATCGTCATCAATCAGAAGTAGAACAATTGCCAATGGTACTCGTCCAATATCAAGTGATGGTTGCACTTGAAGAGTGAGACTTACACGTTGATTTTGATATTGACATGTATCACCGTAATAGCTCGGCGGACAGAGACATGTCGTAGTTGTCGAATTGTCTTTGTCACCCAACCAGACTCGCATATCCATGCCACGATTGCAACGTCGTTGAAGATTTTCATTTTGATTTGGCGATGGTAGAATTCTTCTGCTAACAGAATTCTTTGTAGAAACAATCGATGGTTCATTTTGACCAAGTTTAAAATAGACTACATTCTGTTTGAATGCATCAGATGAAAATTTCCAACAAAGGAACTCTTCGATCTCCGAACGAATGGATAGTGGTTGTCCACACACACCTTGTTGAGAATTTATATAATTGGAGTATTTTGAACAAAATCGTTCATCTTCATCGTTGTTGCATTCCGACTGATTGTTACAGAGAAATAAATGGTTAATACAATTGAGATGTCCTCGATTTTCACAGTAAAATGCAGTAGGTTTGTCTAATAATCTATAAGCTCGACATATATGAGGCTCATCCGTTGCTCCCAAACAATCGACGACACCATCGTTTGCCTTTTCAATAGGTAAGCACATAAATTCATTTCCTTTTAGTGAGACACATGGATGTTCATTCGACGTACAGTTCGATACGCGTAACTTAGGACAATTCAGTTCATCGGCTCCATTAAGACAATTCCAAATGATATCGCAGTGCGTATATATATTATCGCATACCCATTGTCCACAATTGGTTTCATCAGTTTCATTCTGTCCATCGATCATGATCGGTAAGAGTTCAGTGAAGCCATCACATATTGTCTGGAAAGAAATATGTTCTTGAATATCAACAGTATGATCAATTGGCACTTCATCATCACAATAGTGTGGACAATCACAGAGACCATCTTTAAGACGATTGTAATGAATGGATTTACTTTTACTTCTACATTCATAACATTTGATGTTCGAAGTTGATGAGCAGATGTTTTCTGTTTCGACGTAGTTTTCATCATCATCAAAATAACAATCCGAAATACCATCGTTGAGACGATACTTTGAAATACATTTCGATGAATTGACACATCGATACATATTTGGCATGTTGCAAATTGTTGAGTAATCGATGAACATTAATTTACATTTCCAAAATAGTTCTTGCATAGGTGACATGAACGAGTCCCATGTAATGGGTGGAAGTTCATGAGAAAAATTGAACTCATTATACCTTTGACATGTAACATTATTGAAATTGGGCAATCGAATTGTTGGTTTCAATTCACTGCAGATCTGATCATTATAACACACATATTCAGGCAATTGTGGAGTTTCTGGAGAAAAGGTCCGTTTGGATGAGTAAATCATGTAAACATGGCTGTTAAACATTGGTGCATCTGGCAGAGAGATCAAATCTATATCTTTGCATTGTTCTTCAATAATTTGTTTGCATTTATTGTTTTGACAAAAATCTATACATGTCAAATCTTCGATATTGACTGAAATTAATGTATTGACACATACTAATGCTGACCAACATTCGTTCGAAATTGCATTTGGCTTATTAGAAAGTACTTTTTGTAACGCAAATTTTCCACGTTCTCGTACGCACGAACGTCTCGCCATGGTACTGTATACATCAACATCCTTATCAGTACACATGATCTCTTCGCATGCAAATATCGGACTCTTTGCTGAACATCTATCACGTGCTAATGGTGCAAACTTCTCATCTGTACCATCAAGGCAGTCGGAACTTTGATCATAATTTCGTAGAAAAGCGATAGGTATGCATTGTCCATTGGCACATCGATATTCATTCGGCTGACATTCATTGATTTCTAATTGCCAACAATGTTCTTCGTCATGTCCACCATCTAGACAATCGATCTTTCCATCGCAAATTTCTGACCAATCAAGACATGTCCAGTTTGCACTACGCATGCATTGCAAATGAATGTAACACGTCAATGTATTCGATTCACTTCTCTTCGCATAGTAATCCTCGACGATATGAGAAAATGAAGAATGATGTGATTCGTAATGATCGAACATGTATTGACACATCGGACCAAACCATGGTAGTGTACAATTGAAGAAGAGTGCGGTCGTCAACTCAGTTTCATTCCAAATTGAAGCTTGATTTAAATAGAATTGATAACGTTCAATCAAATCGATCGGTGCTGACCAAAGGTACAATTGTTGAGCGGTGATATTTCTGTTGCGCAATTCGAGAAAAGTATAATTTTGATCTCGAATATTTTGTTTAATGTGCCATTGCGTTGGCCAATCACTCAAACAGTAGGCAGTGATCTCATGATAGACTTCCCAATCATTACGATCAGCAGCATACAAGCAATTCTGCTGTACCATCATTTTACAGTCATTATCACTTATTCCGTCTGTAATATGAAGATTAAACTGAATCGATTTAGCCGATGTGACTATTAAACTCCAGATCAGAAATTGGCAGAGCAACATGATATGTCTACAAATGAATATTATTCAATCTCGTTCCATTACTTATAATAATATTAAATAAGGAAAAGAGCATCAGGGTATACTTTTTGCTTTTCTATTTACCCGAACAAGTCGTGCTATCGTGAACAGTTTACCCATTTCTCAGGTATAATAAAACCTCTGTTAGTAGTTTTGCTGAAAACAGACTTCTATGTGCAACCACATATGTGTGTATGAAAAAAAAGGAAAAACATGAAGATGCAATGTGCATTCTGAAACGATGGTGGGCGAATTCATCGCAAGAAATTTCTCACATTCAGGAAGCAAAAAGAATGATTGAATGAATGCTCTGTGACGAATTATCTTGTGAGGAATTGACTAATCACCTCTGAGGCAACAGTACACTTGTTCATTTGAAGATTAGGCCTATAGCTGCTTGCTACCCTTTTTAACAGCTACATCTGTGTATGTTCATCGCATAGTTCAACTCGTAGATCTTCCTATTCTACATCGATTCGCAAGGATTGAACTGGGCATTGTTGAAGGATTGTTATAAGGAAGACTGAAGAACCGATCGACTGGAGATGGAAGAACCTATTTCATTCTTCAATTCAGCTTGGATGAACCATGCATAGATCAGATGTGTGATCATCTAATTAGTAGTGGCGTAACCAGAAAAATGGGTAATGCTCTTTTTTTACACGTTTTTTTGGAAATACTGAGCAGCTAAATTTTTCACGTGTTAAAATCGATTGATTTTTCGCGGTAGTAAAAGTACTAATCCATGATCTTCTTTCAAAAGTACATGCTACCGAAGGCGACACTATTTTTGATTAATGTCTTTAAAAGAAGATAGGAGATGGACTGAAAAAAAAAGCACAAACATATCGTTTGCTCAATGTCACTTCACAATAAATGAACTTAGATATGAAACTTGCAGCCGAAATCATGACAAGAATAGTCATTAAATCCAGAAATTATGGAAAATCTCATTTATGAAGGAAATACTTTTCAAAATTGTAGGAAAATGTACAATAGAAAATTGTTTTCCAAGGAAATTCCTCGGAAACGTGTAGAATTCAGTTGTTGAAAGATCATCTTATACCAAAACTTCCAACAGTAAGACTGGGTCACCGCTCTACCCACTTTAAAAAAAATAATTCGAGAAATTGTTTAGACGAACGACTTTTCAAGACTATCTATCCCACTTCTTATCGTTCACTATTTGGTTCGATTACCTGCATTTTTCTCTCAATCTTTGATACATGGGTTTGAGTAAATGATATTTCTCTGTGAATTTCTCACTCTTATCAACGATTGCTATTGTGGTCAAGCTGCATGTACGCTCGTTCTGATATATAGTATCATCGATAGCTCGCTTCACTAATACGGAGTCCAAGCCCTTTTAGAGGATGTTGCGTCCCGAGTTCCCTCTGGTTACGCGAAACATCTATTTGGTGAACACTTTTTGCAAGATTCCAATGGTGTTCACTAAATAGAGATTTTATTATAGTTTCATTCTTAGATAGGATGATCTATGAGTTAAAAGTTTCTCAAATCGTTGGTTAATGGGCATAAACATGAAAACTAAACAGTGATCGGTGTTGAAATCAACATATTTTAACAGAGTTACTTAATTAACACAATTATAGATTCTAACCGATGTGCCAAGTAAACTTGATCGTCTTGATTTATTTGAACTGTTGTTTCACCCATTCGATTTTATACTCCATCGTTAGAGATTCCAATACTGCAAAAATCTAGACATGTTTTCGATAAAGTACAAGAAACACGCAGCTCAATCCTTGGAAATCGTGCTTTTTAGGAGGATATATCGGTATTGTGGCAGCAAACCTCTCATAAGTCGTTTCTAGTCATGGTTTAAGACATATTCACATAGTATTCAGACAAGTTTGTCCAGGTCGTTTAGATAACTAAACGTTTGACATATTATAACTGTCTCAACACAACTTTCTTTGTACATTACTTGATGTGAAGTCGATAGTTAAAACTTATGATTGATGTCTTTTTCAATAGTCCGTTTACTTCATCTCTGTGATTCTTCTAATATATTTACAATATTTCAACTCATGTTAGAAGTAGAACTGAGGCCCGTTGACAGATATAAACATTCTGTATGCAGGAATTACAAGATTTTCAAGTTTGCCTCAATATGTTTGTAACGCTCCCGGTTAAGTGCATGTTATGCACGAAATTTGACCTGCCCTTATTATTCCTCCTCATCTTTTGTATTGTCCTTATCTTTCTGTCATTACTTCGTACATCATGTTGCACTTTATCCTTCTCTTCCCTTCTTCTGTCTGATGGACGAGTATATAAGTGTATGCTTTGTATGGAAACGATGCGATTCTTGAGAAGAAGAATATAATAAAGCGTGATCCCACCAACGCTAACAATTCTTTCATCAGAAATCGTCACAATGTCACGCATGCATACCACACACTCATTCATTTAATAAAGTAAAGCATGACTTCTACCGTTGGTTGAAATGTCATAAATATATTGAGAGAGAGAAGTAAAGAAATCGAGCTCATGTGATAGATTACATCGAATGAATAGATATTCTCTCATGAACACACACGATTGTTTGAGAACACTTGTGTGCAATCAATAAAAGAATATCGTTGATAGTAGATAAGAAGAAATTCAGCGAAATGGTATACTTCAAAATGCATAAAAGAAAGTCTAGAGCAAAGAGTACTATTGAACAGATAATGTTAGTAAAAGTGAAAGTGTTGTTATAGTTGACCAACGATTCTTCAATCGTTAAGACAAATTGAAAGATTAGTAAAAATAACGAAGGAAAAATGATGATACAAGAGAATGAATAGAAAAACGAATCAATAAAAGTGCAAAGTTATGCCAAGCCTATGTGTCTGTTGAGTGAAAGAAATGCTTTTTAGCGTGTTTTTCTAGTGGAATAAACGATGAATCAATGTGAAAGGGTCAATACGCACACATATCAAGTTGGATAAAAACTTCTATGGGATACTCACGTTGATTTTCCAAGCTTGTTTCAAGAGTGTAGTACAATATGAAATGAAGTGGGTATTCTAAAAGACGTGCCTTAAATAAAGCTCAATCTCTTGTTTGGAGCAGAATGATCGAATACCTGTTGTCAACGATGGTGATTGAGTAAAAGTGAGAAAGATTTATTTGCTTCTCTACGTTATACTACTCAAATAGTGCTATTTGAAGAAGAAATATTGGCTTCTTCCTACGTGGAGCACAGAGAAGCCGTTCAAGATGCTCGACAATATTACCATAGAAATGATGTATGAGATCGCACAAGATTATTAGCTTTGAAGAAGTCTTGGACATTGAAGGAGATTTACTATCACACCAGCCGTGTTTGAATCTAGGGTGTGGGTGTAGATGTTCGGCGTTTCAAGGGAGACACATCCACATCCACATCCCTCCCTGTATTGGTTGAAATGAATAAACGAATAATTGATCTTACCGTGTGTATATAGAGTATAATGGGAAGTAATCGACATGTTTCTCAATGATAACAGATTGAAAATTCATCAATGAGGCGTGAAATCGATAGAGCTTATCGAGATCTACTTGGAACCAGCATTGATTGCATTGGAAGTGGTCTGGGAGCGAATCGGTGAGAGAAATACTCGAAACTGTTGATAAGATATCCCACGTAAACCAAAGGAATCACAGGTTAGTATAAATTCTATCATCTTCTTTGCTTTTGGTCGGAATATTAGCATACATTTTAATTTATTATAGATTATCTCAGCAAGACGCATATGGCAAGCTACAGCAAATCAAACAATGATGAGTGAATAGATGGCTATATTGGAATATTGTCTAACATCGAAACAATTACCATCGGCATCCACTCTTCTTGATCATATGTTAGATAATATTAACACAATAATTCTAAAATCAAGAGCACTTATGGAACAAAATAAAACAACTAATTTTTCATCTCATCAATTTAAGAAAATGAATCAATTGAAACATGATATTATTCATCAAAGTGTTATAACTAGTCATTAAATGTCACAGAAGTTTATCAAAAGTATTCGTGATGAGAAGCAAAAGTATTCTTTTAATCAAAAAGGCGACGAATTCCCATCTCAGATACAAGTCGTTGTGATTCAAGCTGTTGGGAATCGTCAATTACACATGATTCAACGTGCCAACTATATAACCCAATACAAACTCGCAACATACTTCAAAAAGGATTCAACATATCAAAAACAACAAACCAACCACAAACTATACTAGCCAAAATAGACACGAAAACAGTTCACTTAATATCGATCAGTGAACAATATTTGCCCTGTTACTGCATCAGCATAATTAACATCCTTGCTTTTTAATATAAATATAATCTAGCTACACGTACAATTCTAAAAATCATATTATACATCTATTGCCTTCTAGATACAGTTAGCCCTCGTCTCATTACCAAACAACACCAAAGTCTGTTAAGAAAGACCATCACTAAAGTAACAAATACATAACAATATCAGACCAGCGCCACATAAGACTAATAATAGGTGAACATCTGGGATCAGACACTGTATGACTATCTGCTACTTAGAACATACTCCTTGACATTTCAAAACCTCATTCTTAACATTAACTAATTGAATTCCTTGATTCTATTGTGCAGATTATTATATCACTTGACAAGATCTTTGAATAGGATCGAAATCATGATCGTGGTAGTTTTTTTTCTAATTCACCCACATCCTCAATTCCAATTTCTTTTTCTGAATATATATTTCAAATTCACATTTATTCTGCTAACTGATCTCCAGAACATTCAAAACATATGCAAAGTCAAAGCCATTTGATGATTCCTGTAGCCGGGACGAAATCGCGATAATGGTTGCTACACTCATCTCACCCCTCACTCTAGCGTCATAATACTTTTGTAAGCCATTGTGGATTTTCAAAAATGTATCGAATATTTGAGTCCTGATGTGGAGAAAATACTTCTAAACGAACTATAAATAATAAAGAAAAGAATAATTGCTGCAACGTGGAGTGCTTGTAAGATGAAAACGAATAGTCTATGGTCGTAATTTTGCTTATTCTGTTGATTGCAAGGATTCATTTTTTTTGCGTTCTCTATTATTGTCGTCAGGTGTGCAAATATCGACTGGATGCAAGCAATGTGATATGTGATATTTGATAAGGAAATACCTGATTTTATCCATACTTTTTTCTTTTCTGTCGGCTGAGCTTTAGTGAAAGATGATAGTTTCTCATTGAAGCCGCTTGTACTACTTAAAAACAATTTTTTAACATATTTTTTTATGAGTATAAGCTATTAATACTGCTCTATAAGTGGTAACAAACTACTACATTTCCTCAAAAGATGGGTATTGCATTCTGACTTGAGAAAGATCTTATTGGGATGTCATGTGTTGGTTATCACTCTTGTATTCATATTATTTTTTACTTTCTCTTTGATGATACCTAAATAAACATAGTGGGAGAACGGCGAAAATACTTCCAGTCCTGTCTCAATCATTTTTAACGTTTGTAATATATTGCACAGGCTCGCACTCGCACTCACATTCGTACTCGCACTCAAACAAGTCCGTACTTGCCCAGCTTTGTGACAAACACAAAGGTAGAAGTGAGAGAGTATTTTCGCAGTATCCTATCCCTATTTATACCAGTATCACTCAAGAGTATACAAACAAGAATACGAGTAAATCATATAAATTTATATAGAAGAATGGCAACCCCACGCAAGATCATGACAGAAGCTCTAGCAGTGGTACTGTTGGTATTACTGATTATTTCAGTCACCAAAGCGACCAACATTTCGCCGAAGGCTCAAAAACAGCAAGTAGTTATATTGGCCGTCAAATAACAATAAATGGTACCAAAGTTAACTATTGGTATGGCATACCTTATGCTCAACAACCTATCGGTAACCTTCGGTGGATGCCTCCTCAAGCTCTTGCCATATCCAATGATACCAAAGAAGCATACATTCCCAATTATTGTCTTCAGGAGTATAACTTTGACGTTCCACTCACCGAAGCTTGTCTCACCTTAAACGTATACGCTCCGAAAAATGTAACTAATTTGCCTGTATATGTTTGGATTCATGGAGGCAGTTTTTCTATCGGTGCTGGTATACAGTATAATACTACTCCGTTTGTTAGCACAAGCATTATCAATTCTGTTCCTGTAGTCATCGTTACGATCAACTATCGACTTGGTCTGTTCGGTTTTCTAGCAGATGAAGCATTGTATGGTGAAAAATCAGGTATCAATAATAGAAGCACCACTGATAATTATGGTATATTAGATCAAATAATGGCATTAGACTGGATAAAGAAGAATATTGCTAGTTTCGGTGGTAATCCTGAGCAAATTACTGTCGGTGGTGAGAGTACTGGAGGTATCAGTATCACAATCCTACTCACATCATCACTGGTTGCTAATGGTATCTTTCAAAGAGCCATCGTACAGAGTGGTGGTTTGTGGTCCAATTTTGCGAATGACTTGCAGAAGGCCATTAACAATACTGGCAACGTTTTGCGAGCCACTACGAATTATACTACAGTGCAATATTTGCGCAATCTAACAGTAGATCAAATCCTTGTGGTCCAGGATATTAGTGCATCTAAAAGTACCTTTGAAGTACCTGCCTCTCCAGTTATCGATGGTTACGTCCTGAGCGATATAATGGAAAATTACTATGCCAAGGGAAACTTCCAAAAAGTTCCTATACTGATCGGATCCACGACGAACGAGACATCCTCAATTACATGTTCAATTTTTAATGGGACGGCCAACAACATACAAGTTCAAGCATTCCTCAAGACACTATACAATACCATCATTATCGATGAGATTTCTACGGTCTATGGTCCTATTTTTACCTATAATAATCCATTAACGTATCTAAATATAGTATTTAGTGACGCTTGGGTACATTGTGAATCGAGACGTATTGCTTCTAAATTCTCTAGTTAAGGATTACCTTCTTATTTATATACATATAATCATCTCCTATCTGCTGCACCATCTTGTTTTGGTGTGGTTCATGCTGCCGAACTTCCCATGCTCTTTCCATCGTATCTTCGCTATCTGTATCGCAATTACACTTTTACTGCATTGGACCAACAACTCTCTACGAACATGATGTTATATTGGGCCCATTTCATCCATAATTCGAATCCTAACTACAGTGGAAATCCAGCCAACTGAGATGTTTATCGTACTTCGACCGATAATGATTTTGTTCTTGACATCAACCCACAAATGAGAAACCACTATTATAATTCTACTTGATCGTGCTTATGGGATCGGTATGCTGTCGCAAATAGTACTGTCACATCGTCTGCAGTGAGATATACCCGTTACTGCGACTATTTATTGCTTTTTGTTCTTTCTGTGTCATGGTTCATGTCTAAATTTTTCTGAATAATCACAAATCAAAATGAAATGGTTAAAAAACTTGTGGGACTGAGCTGAGTCAAGCCGCCATGTTGCGTTTCGACCTTACTGAAGGATCTTACTAGATGGCTTAGACTGCATTGTTCCAAATTTCTATTCAAATGATCCTAGAAGATCACAAATAAGAATTTTTGAGGGTATGGGTGGATGAGTCGAGAAACCATGATCGCGATTTCGTCTGTTCTCAAGGATCCCCAAGCATCGAGTATTTTGTTTGCCTATGTATGTTTTTCTATTGCTGTTCGAAGAATTAATTCCAAATCTCGCTCATATGGACTAGTCGTGTTATTTGATAATGACAAAGACATGTATTCTAACATGTGTTCAGATGTAAGATTGTATTCAACATCTTTCATGAGATTGGTCAGTAAAAAATGTTGATATTGACGTAGACAATTAATTGCTAAATCAAATTGTAATGGAATAATTTGAGAATTTGTATTCGATAGTAAAGAAAAGAATACAAAAAGTGCAGTAGTCAACATTATGATTTTATCTAAAATGATTGACTATAGCGTTGCATTATATACACAATGATATAAATTATGATTCTGTTGGTAAGATATTTAATTTCGTTATGATTATTGATTACTTTTACTTCCAGGAAATTTAATAACTTACTTTGCAAAATGTCTTACGGATGCTGTGTTTTCTCCTGCAAAGTACAAAACATTGTACGTTTTTCAAAACTGTAAGGATCTCGGATACTTTACTTCTGTTTGAGGCTCTTAATATTACGAACACTGGCCCTAGCATCCCATTTATCCTCCTTAATATCATGAGGGTGAAAGACGTTTCTGCAGTGTACGCACTCTCAGTGTATGCGTCCTCGCCTTACACGCAGCTATCAGTAGTGACATAGTGTACGCCTTTTTTTTCCACTGAGTATGCGTCAGTCGTCTTTCTTTTCTATTTACATCAATTAATACTGAATTACATTGCCGTGGCAACCACATCTTTTTTTTCTATGTGATTCTCGCATACTTGCGAATTGTTTCTTTCAGATTCGTATTTAGAACTTTACTACAATGCACTGCGATCCAATGTTTCTGTCTGTATCGAACTGTATCGAATTATTTTAGAATTTACTGATATTCACAAAAATTTACTGAAATATATTCAAACAATCCATGATCGTCGTGACCCACTATGACTATTCGGATTGTGACATCGAAAATTTCAAATGGTATGTATTTTTACGACGATATTTCTAACTGACAAAAATCGATATACAAAAAACATAACCAGATCAGAGACCAAAATCGAATCGAATCGAATCCAAATCGAGATTTTCTTATTCGTTTCGGTCTCTGAACCAGATTGTAGTAAAACAAACATTTTATGATGGATAGAAGAATCAGGGTAAGTGGGTTGGTTACCAGTTACATTATACTCAAAAAGAAAAATCGATAAAAATGTTCTGTTTTTGTTCTCAGCTAAATGATATTATGAAATGCGCAACATTGATTTCATAATTGGCACTAATTCATTAATATATTCTGGTGATAATGTTCGCAGGACATCTTTTCGTATTTCTTCCTGAATTGTTTGCCATGAGATGATATGAACAACGAGTTCACTAAATAATTTAATTGCTTTTTCATATCCATGCATTGTTTCTATGTATTTCGACAATAATTCTATGTAATAATTTTGTGCACGATATACAGATATTTCATCATTGAGTATTGGTTCATCATGATCACTAGTTATTGAAAAACCTTTTGTAAGAATAAGTATAATAATTATTAATTCAATAATTTTTCGATCATATTTCGCTATATGTAGAAATGAAGTAAAGATCTTTCTTATTTGCATACAAACATTATAACCGTGAAGTACTCGAAAGAATTGTGTATTAAATGGTACATCAGAATCACTTTCAATGAGTTGTTCAGTTTCTGTATTATACGAAAGTACACTGTTTATACCAAGAACTGTTGGAAGATTATATTTAATTAAAGTAACTTTATCATCAACATTCAATTGATTAAATTCAGGTATTTGTTTCGAGAATGATAAAAGTCGCATGACTGATACTGATTGACTGTTGAGAACTTGTGAAAACGTTCTTGATTGCATTGATGGATCCCATGGAAGGCCATCACGAATCGCTAAAATATAAATAGAGTAAGATGAATAGAGAAAATATTCGCTTACCAAACTCGATACGGTTTTGATAAAAAAATGATATAGTTTCTACACGTTGTAAATCTTCCCAACTGAGCAATGTCTGTTGCGGCTGAGACAGTAAAAGATCGGTAAAATCTGTGAGAAGAATATCTGTGTCTATCAATGTAAGTAACTGAGAATAATATAAGAGTAGATGAATAAAGTCATGGTGTTTTTTTTTCTATTTCAAATTATTCTTACATCATCTGAAAATGTAGATGTTGACGGATGAGACACTTCCGTATTTGTGTTAGAATTTGATTCCAATGCTAAATTTCTATTTTCTTCTAATTGACGACATTTTACTGCTTTTTGTTCGATCTAGAAATTAGTTTTATGAATGATTTTTCTTTTGTTTGATTGATACCGTCAGAAGTCGATCACATTGCATTCCACTTTTGAAACATTTGGCTAAACGACAAGCTTGACAATTACGACGTGTTTCTATTGTTATTTTACAATCACTGTTATTATTACAGTGAAAAGTACTCTAGAAACAAAAAAAAAACTTTATCATTTCGATGATCATTAAAACCATATAGAAAACAAATGAATTTTATGTCATCTGTACTATTAATGATGTCAAGGAGAACAAATCAAAAGCAATAGGTTGATTCTCTCCTTATGTTCCTATGAGAGACAACAACGTTGTTGCAGGATACTATTCAAGCATTTTTTCATTTAAGAAAACATAAATTGAGAGAGATTAATAACTCCAAAAACCTGTGAAGGATATTCCGAGAAATTTTAATCTTAAGAAGATATTCACTTCGATCGAACTCACGTCAAATCAATGAGAGATGAGAAATTCTTTCTATCTAAACAGCACAAATATGACGTAATTTTTTTTTTCTAGAATTTACCGGTTCTTTTCGAGCGTTACGACGAAAGAAAGCTTTACAACTTTCACATGCAATTGCCCCAAAATTGTATCCAGTTGCCAATGAACCACAAACGACACAAATCAAAGAACCATCTCTAGTTTTAATCTTCTTATTTGATGATCGTACTTCGTTCTAAAAAACAATACATCCTTTTCTCTCTACTACAATAATCAAAAAAATAACACTAACTTGTTGATTAGCTTGTTCACTATTATTGTTTTCGAACGGAAGAGTAATCTGTTTCAATAAAGACACATTGTTGCCTTTTTCAATTTGTTCAATGATACTTTCATCGGCGGTAATAATCATTATTCGTGATCGTTTTGATCTTGTTCTTGGCGATACGTTCGACGACATGATTGAGAAGATTTATTTTATTTTTCTAAAATGTCCCAATTTTCTCAAGATAAATATGAGAAGAAGAACTCATCATTATCTTTAGTTTTTTAAATCATTTCTTTACTGTTAAAGAATTGTTTCAAGAAAAAACAAGTGATGTAAACAGGTTTTACAGATCTATTCTGATCTATTATTGTAAACAATTTTCTCTTCTATGATCTATTCATCTACTTTTACTTTCTCATCATCATCATTATCATATCTTGTAGAATT